CTAAGACTGCTTGGCCACCACTAACCTCCAAATCACACACAAAACAAAACTCAAGATTGTCAGTTTGAGGGCTCTCCTGTCTCAGCAATGTCAACCATCTCTTTAAACCCTCTCAAACAAATAGAGAGAAACTCGGGGAGCTGTAGCAGTAAGTCTGTTATATCTGCAGTTTGAGTATACACATAATAATCACTCTCTGTCTCACCGTGAACTAAAGCCACCACATGAATCACACCGGCTCAAGCCTCACAGACGAACAACGAACCATATTTCTTCAATCAAAAGGGAACTAGGCCTCGCCCAGTAAGTACTCATATAGCTTGAAACCCAAGGAAAAACCAAATATGTAATCCCATATATTCTCCCTGTTTCCACTGAAACCCAGAGGAAATAGTACACCAACATTTACTGCTGAAATTCTCTTTTATTTCTTTCAGATTAGCTGTTCTGTTCAATAACTTGTACTAGGCCTCAAAGTAGGCCGATAATGTGAGTCCGCTGTCTCACAGTGAACAAGAACATCCACCTGAACCCCAGCAGCTACAGGTGTTAGCTCGATCCTTAAAGTCGAACCAGTGAGTGTATCCTGCCAATCAAAAAAGGGAAAGTGGGCCTCGCCCATTAAGTGCACATATGGCCTCAAAATCAAGGAAAAAGCACTTAAATCATTCAATAAATTCTCTGAAATCAGGAGGATACTCACACCATCATTTATTACTGAGTTTCTGGTTTAATCAAAGTAACTTGTGTTAAAATCAAAAAGAGGACGCACCCAACGTATGTTCTTAACCAGAAAAGAGAAAAAACACATAAGAGGTAACTCTTCACCAGATTAGATAAAATGTAAGTTGTGGATCGCAGCAGATCTGAACATCAACACAGCCAGCATTAATTCTTGTGCAGGACCTCAGCGGATCCAAGAACGTTGGAAAAATATCAACAGAAACACTGCTTTTGGCAAACCGCGGCGGGTCTCCCCACAAACGTATATCCACAGATACACAGGTAATGCTTCAATTGTCTCTCACCACATGCAGTAATATTATCAAAATTACTTCAACATAGTAAACCTTGATTTCCTTCAAAATCACTTTACTATTACACTCAAACTCACAGCTGGCTTGATTCTCTTAAATCCTAAGTCAGCTCGACACCTTGCTCAGCTCAAGGTGTCCTTGTCGGACGTCTACGTCTGAAATTACTCTTTTTACTGATGAATAAGTGTTTCCCAAAATGAGCCTCTGATCATTAGCTATTTTTAACCGAGGCCACAACTCTCGGCAGCGCCACCCGGAATATGACCACCAGGTGAATATGACCACAATGACCACAATGCGCTTTACATTCGTACACACGCAGGGTCTCCTAAAGGACGTCTCCAATAGGGAGGACCCTATTGGAGACGTCCTTTAGGAGACCCTGCTGCGATCCACAACTCACCTCATGACTTGATGCTTATTGAACCATAAACTGACCAACAACTCTTATATTCTCTTATTTTTAAGCACACATTGGTCTCTTTTCTCTCTTATCTCTTTTAAAATGACATCTCATGTTACCTTTAGCTCAGTACTGTCGTTTGTAAAACACCATGAACATCACTTCACAGTTTCACTTTAACTTAACCCAAAACTCAAGACAGACATCAACCAGTAATTCATTGACTACAATTTTAGAAATATAATCCAATTCAGCACAACTTCAGTTTAAGAGGTTTGTGCCTTACGTTTAGAAGGGCCCTTTATAGTCAAATGAATCACCGGGAACGTCTGTCCGTCCGACCACCTCCTGGCCTTGAGGTCCTCCCTGAACACCTCCAAAAACACCTTTATTGCTTCAACATTTCCCGGCCAATGTGTGATCCACACAGAAATGTGGTCACAATTGTGAGTTAAGTGTCGTGATATATGGAGATTATTTTGCACGTTTTATTTTGCTGGTTTATTGGTGTAATTTAAAGCCACAATGTCATGTAAGTTCCCTGTTGCCAGGAGAGTGTATAACACTTTGGACAGTAGGGGGCAGCAGCGTGCTTTGGGAACTGAGTCGGGTGCATAGCTGCCGTAAGTTTTCCATTCTGGCAAGACTGACCAGGCGAACGGCAGCGTGTCTCCTGTGCTCACTTTCTCTCCTGTTTTACAGGTCAGTAATGTGGTCAAAAACATAAAGAAATACACAGCTGGACGCTGTGATACTTAAACTTTCATGACATAAGACGGGTCTGTGATATGTGATGTATTATACTGTCGCTATGTGAGCTACTTTAGCTCTGTAAGATGTTATAGCTAGGCTATATGCCTGGGTAACGCTAGCAAGCTGTTGCAACTGCGTATAATACTCCATATAATAATAAGAAGCACCAACCCAGTTGGGTTTACAGTTCCTGATAAACTTGTAGCTTTGTGTTCATGACAAATGTTTTGTATAACGTGTGTGTAAAGTGTTCTGAGCCTGCCTGAAGTCATGTGTAAACTTGCTGTTTCAGCCCTAATAAGAGCACGGCCAACAAAAATGCTGGCAAGGAAAGTAGTGCAGTAATGTTGAAAGTAGAGTTTCCTTGCTATGATAAGACACTACCATGATGATGTGAATTATTTTGTTTATCTCATTTATGGGAAAAGAGGTGTAGTTGTCATTTGTTTCATTCATTTAAACCCTTTGTTGTTTTATGCCAGTAGTGTGGACTAATATTGAAATGTACTGGTGGAAAACAAGCCATGTGAGGGAATGAGCAGTTATTGTGAAATCGAGTTAACGAAAGAGTGGAGCAGATATGCTTGTGTTGTATGAATAAATTCTGGCAAGACTGACCAGGCGAACGGCAGCGTGTCTCCTGTGCTCACTTTCTCAACTGTTTTACAGGATCGTAATCTGGCTACGCGCCCATCATAGTGGGGCCTGTAACAAATGCACCAAAACTGTCCCAAACTCAAATGTTGAGCAACGAAACAGACCAACTGAGGCCCAGAAGAGTGCAATCAAACAATGAGTTTATTAAAACACATGCAGGAGACATAGCGCTTCACAAAGCTTAAAACCTTCTTTAATGTAAAAAATAAATGCTGCCCCTTTTCTACAATTCCCCTGTGGGAGAGGAGCTGGAGTGGGCAAGCTATTTATTTGGAGGTCTTTCTTTCTTTTACCTTTTATCATCAGACACAACACAGAACCACACCAGTTACACTCAAACCTCAGTCTGAGGGATGTTTGGACAGCAGAGAGAGGGAGACAGCTCTCCTGGGTCCTCACATGCAGAGCCGGTAAATCAGGAGTTAACTGCGATTAACCACAAGTTACACTCTCACATCCAGGCCTGACTACAGATATGCTGGATTAAGTAGAAGCTGTGTAACAAAGAGAGGACATCACACTACCATCTTTAAAGTCACTGACATCTATCAGTCTGAAAGACTTAAATTTGGAGTCTATTGTGATTTTATTTTTCTCAGAAATGACAACAATGTCATTGTCCAGAGCAAATACCCAGAAATAAAAGCCACTCTGTTTCACTCAGGTGTGTCTGTGTTGTATCTGACTCAAAGACAAGGAATCTGTACATCTCACCTGACTGCAAGCTGATGATGCCAGTGCTGTTACCATGGCAGAATCCAGTTTAGCAGGTTTACAGACAGACCAAAACCATAAGAGTCACGTAACTGGAGAAAACTAAGCTGTAGTCTTTGTCACTGTGCAACAGACTTTTGGCTGTCTACATCTCATTAATGACAATATTTGACTGCTATTCCTATTGATGTATTCCGTATTTATACATGTGTATATATGCTATATTTATGCTTATGTTCATATTCTCTTATTCTGGTTTATTTTACATTATAACTGCTACTGGAAATTGAGTTTCCTGGAGGAACCACCCAAGGGATTAATAAAGTTCTATTGATCTACATTTACTGTATATAACAGTGTTTAAATAGTACTTTATATGGTATTGATGTCATACCAGAAACCAGGAAAGTGTCCTCTCTTTGTGTCACAGGCTGGGTCTCCGACCCAGCACTCTGAGTTTTCTTTGTATTTTTTGATATGTTATTGGTTTGTGTTATTTCCTATTTGCCTTTAGTTTAGGCAGTTATTGTTTATTGTTCCTGGGTTTTCTATGTTTTGGGGTTTTGTATTTATTCATCACGTATTAGGTCTGTTAAGTTGTGTTGTCATGTTTAGTTTTAGTATTTCCTGTTTTTATTCTGACAGTGTCATGTGTTCTTTGTTCATTGTATTTAGCTTTCCTCTCCTGGTCCTGTCATTAGGTTTATGTCAGTCAGCTGTTCCCCCATGTGTCTCCACTTCCCATGTATGTATTTAAGCCCTTTGTTTTCTGCATGCCATTGTCGGGTCGTCTGTTTATTCTGCCCTAGTTCTAGCCTGGTTCTGTTTATTTGACCTCAGTCTTAGTTTCGGTTTTCGTCTGTTATGTATTATTAGTCTTAGTCATGGTCTTTGCTTGTTATTTTCCACCACAGTCATAGTTTAGGTTTTGGTCTCAGTACCGTTTTAGTATTTTGTTTCTTAGTGTCTTGTCAGTTTACTTTGGTTTCCTGGTTTACTTCTGCCGTCATCTAATAAAGCCTCACCTTTCTGTTAAAACCTTACTACTCCTCGTCGTCATCTGCTTTTGGGTCCTGTTTCCACACACATCGGCGCACCCCGCCGTGACACTTTGTCCCTCAGCATGCAGCAGAAGATTCAGATCTTCACCTCAGCTGAGAAGCTGTTGGCCTGATTCATAGTCTCCAGGTTCAGATCAAGACTGAGTTGGTAGAGAAATATGATCTGACACTTTAGTAGTAATAATAATAATAATAATAATAATAATAATAATGGATTGCATTTTTATAGAGCTTTTCGGGGCCCTCAAAGCGCTGTACAGTACCACTATTCATTCATTCTCACATTCACACACTGGTGGAGGTAAGCTACAGTTGTAGCCACAGCTGCCCTGGGTCAGACTGACAGAAGCCAGGCTGCCATATCGCACCATCGGCCCCTCTGGCCCACACCAGTAGGCGGTAGGTGAAGTGTCTTGCCCAAGGACACAACGACCGAGACTGTATAGTACAGTATATTAGCAGAGTTTTTCTGTCCTCACTAAGTGTTGTCCTCATGAATGTAGACTAAGCTATACAGACAGGTAAACACTCTCCTTGTCAAAATCCAAGGAACAGGCCGATGTATTGAGTTGGATGATTTAATAAGGATAAAGTGTAAAACTGTTGACAAAACCAGAAGTAAAACCAATTAAAATGTTGCATCAATATGCCTTGTTGGGGTTATAATACTGTACAAAGCACCTTGAGCCAATCTTTGTTATGATTTGGTGATATAAATGTAATGTAACTGATAAACTGGGACTACACACAACAGTGCACAGTGTTTGAGAACAACTTCTTGGTTCTTTAACCTGTTCTCTTTTACTCCACTACTGTCACCATTTTATCTAAGTCTTTGATAAAATATCTCTGTGATCAACATTATTTGTTAGGATCTTAACAGAGCTGCAGGAAAAAAAGTGAAACTCATTTGGTTTTGCTCTACAGAGATGCACACTGAGTCACAAATCAACTCAACATACCAGTAAAAAACAAGAAAGCAAAACCAAAAGAAAGATGTAGGTATGGTAGGATGAATAGGTGTGGCAGGTTGTGTTATTGTGTCAGTATGTGTAAAGATTACCACAGATAGCAGACACGCCAATGCACAATATGGCAACAATGAAGCAGGAATTTTAGTAATCATGATCATCTTCAGAGATACAAAAATGCTGTATAGATGTATACATTACCAGCTGTTCTTGTTGTTCTGGAGCCAAAACAGCATCTGTCCCTGCTGGCCTAAAGCACTGCCTAACCTAATATTATCATATGTAGTTGTGATGGAGGTGGTAAGGATGGTAATTAAGCAGTACAATGGTTTGATTCTTTTTTAAAATTATTTTCCTTTTTTTTTTTTTGGTAAGATACTGTGGGACAGCTAGGTACAAAGGTGTGCCAAGGTGTGGCCGATTAATTAATTATTCTCAAAGTTTCCAGACTTTTAGGATCATGAATCATCCTGTTCTAAATAAAATGTTTTGCGTTTGTTCATCAGACAGAGAAACATCTTATGTTGGATGCTCTTGCTATGTGAGGAAATGTGCAGCATGTATCAGTAATTGAACTACACAATGTGACAGATGATTGTGCAGGTGTCTGCTGTGAAAATTGTTTTTTTAATTTCTGTCAGAGATGTGCTGTAAAAGAAACCAGAAGAAAAACACAGGAAAAAAACACAAGACTATTATACTTTGTGTATTTGTGACTATTGAAAATAATATTGAAGGAAAATAACTTTTTCTTTTTAAAATACAAGCTGACAAAGGACATATTTAGTTGTTTCACATTATCACATTTGCTCTCTATTATGCATTTCAGAGTCACTGGGTGAGAGGTGAGGTTGGGACAGGTCACTGGTCTCTCACTGATTAAAATACTTTTTTGTTCTCATAGTTATCACTGGGGTTTTGAAAAAAAGAGATTAAAACAAAAAATGTTTAGAGCAAGGGTAATTCACAAATTAACACTTAAATATCAGAGAGCATTAACTTCTTTAGAAAAATATTTGTTGTCATTTATTGCTTTTACTTTGGTTGTAATATCTGAATATAAAATGCTTCGAACACTTATTCACAGCAAAAATTAAGTCAGAAAAAAAATCTAAACCTTCAGAAAAAGTAAACAAACAAACAAACAAACAAAAAACTTGTGATGGTTACTGGGTATTGTTGTGTGAAATGGAAAATAGCCTGATTCTTATATGGTGAATCTCTACTTTACCATTGGCTTACATCACTTCCTTCTTTCTTGCTTCTAGCTAACCATAGCACAGTGTTACAAGTAAAAGCAGCTCCTGTAAGAGTTGTACACTCTTCTCTATTACTGATAAATGCTGTTACCATAGCATTTATCAGCTGAAGAGCAAGTGGATTTACATCAGCCTGTATGCTTATTTGCATTTATGCTCCAAAAAAAGTTTAATGTGTGTTTGTTTTGTCCTGTTGAAACAGCCAGCTGTGCCATCTGCCCATTTAACCTTTCTCCAAAAGACATTTCGCTCGTCCATAACGAGGAGCTGCGACAGTCGAGCTTCAAGATGTCGGTCCAAGATGTTTTGGAGCCGTTGCTTCTTTCTTAGTTGGCATGCTCACAGTCCATGGTCATATAACACTGGCTTCACTGTGGACGGTGACGCTCGTGTTGCAGCAGTTTTTAGTTCATGGCAGGGTTGAGCTTTGTGATGGACACAAAGTACCTTTGCTTTATTAACAACTGGAAAGTTAATGAAACATGTTTGATTTTGCTCCACAGGGTGAAATGAAACAGAAAACCACAACATGACGATTAAAGAAATTAAACCAAAAAAGTAAGATAGGAATGTTAGATTAGTCACAACAGGTGTGACTGGTTCTGTCGGTGTGGGTGTGCACTCTAGTAGTATAAATATCTGCAGACACAGAGGCACAATAACCACTGCTCATCTTTATCCACACTTTAAGGAATCATGGAGGTTTCAACGTTAAAGAAAATGATAGATGTTTTGAGTATCTGTGAAGACGTTATGGTAGAAAAAACAGATCTCATCATTGATGGTAATGCTCTTTACTATTTTTTGTATTATACATCTGATCCAAAGCTGGACCAGCGATGTGGAGGGGATTATCCTGGATTCAAACATGAGGTCTGTAAGTTCTTTAAGACTCTGCAGGACTGTGAAGTCAATCCGTACGTCATCCTGGATGGAGGCTCAGGACCCGAGAAGCATAAAAAAAATGTGTCTCGTCTAAAATATAAACTGAAAAAAGCAAAGACAATAGCAGAAACTGAGCCTGATGGCACTTTACCAGAGGGATATAATGTGTTACCACCTCTGGTCAAAGATGTATTCCTAGAAATCTTAAAGGAAGAAAAAATAGAGTTTGAAGTGTGTTTAGGAGAGGCAGACCCTGAGGTTGTTTCTAAGGCAAATCAGGAACAATGTGCTGTGCTGTCCATTGACAAGGATTTTTACATCTTTGATGTGCACAAAGGTTTCCTTAATCTCCACAACTTTGAGTGGAAAAAAGAAGAGGATGGAAAAATTCCTGCTAAGATCTACACACATTCAAAGTTTTGTGAGCATTTTAAATTGGACCCTGCTCTCATGCCAGTCTTTGCTTCAATAGCAGGAAATGATTATTCAAACTTAGAAGACAATGACATTTTTGCAAATAAATCATCTTCACCTGGTGAGTCCAGCATTAAAAGACTGGATGGTATGCTCGGCTTTTTAAGTGAAGTGAACCTGGATGGCTTGAATGATTCACGGAAGAGAGAACGTGCTCTGAGTGAAGCTTTAAAGTATGTTGGAAAAAAAGAGAACCAAACATTCAAATTCGCCATTGAAAGATATGTTGAACCAGAAAAAAACAAAAAACAACCAAGTTCTAAGTTGCCACCATGGGTGTGTAAAAAAGTTGAGCACGGAGAACTCACCAGTTTCGCCACAAGTGTTGTGGGTCAGAAGACAATGATGCTGACCCCACTTGTGGAGGACTTTTCACAGCGCAGTAGTTATCAAGCTGCTTACCGCATCAGACAGTACTTCTATGGACTGTTAACAGGAGATAAGATTACTGAATATGACAGGAATGGAGAAAATATCAAACACTACCATGTCCGACCAATACCTCCCAGCAGTCATGAACAGAAACAACTGAAACTACAGTGTCTGACAGAGGTACTGAGGTTAATCATTAAATATGTGTTTAATTACTCTGACAGGTAGACATGTTTCTGTGGTACATGTAAGCATAGTGTCTGTGTAGTACCTCTCTATGCAGGATGAGCGTCGCAGGGTGTTTGAAGAAGCTCTGGAGGTTCAGACTTCAGTCTTAGAAAACATCCCCAACCAGCTGAAGCTGCCAGTCTATGTGACTGTTTTCTGGTTCAAGAGTCTACAACAGCACCACTGCCTCCACGCCCTCCTGCTGTGGTTTGTGTGTAAGCCCGATGGTCCAGGTTAGTCTCACGGGGTAACATGATGAATATTAACAATGAAATATAGCTACAGGTCACTTTATATATTCCATATATTCTACTCGGATGAAACTTTTACAGTTTCAGCTCCATAAATGTGATTATTCTGTTTATTATTTACAGTCACCTGTCAGCAGGTTAGTCTCTCTGAAAGCAGTCAGCAGATGGACTGTAGTCAGTTCCTGTAGTCAGAGTGTGACAGTAGCAGCACTGATGCTTCCACATGAGCCTGAACAAGAAGACAAACTGCTGCTGGTCTCTGGTTCTGTGTCACTGAAACGTTTTCTTTTTTTGTCTGTAGAGGACGAGTTTGAGAGGAAGATGAAAGTTTTAAATGATGAAGGTGTGAGTAACTGGAAGCCATGTGTGGCTCATGCTTTCAGCCAATGGCAGTGCTGCATGAGGCAGAGCCTCCACCTGAACCAGCTGCTGCTTTCCCCTCTACCAGAACCTCAGTTTGCCCGGTAAACACCAGACCAATGATTTGCTCCACAGATGGTTAACACACTTCATCAACTTTAACTGAGATTTTCTGCTTTGTCAGGCTTTACTGTGGACCTCTCCTTCATCGGCTGGCAGATGGAGACACGATTGAAGAAGTACAGAAAACACTGAGAGGAGAAAAGAAGAAATTATATGAGAACCTGAAGACTGTTTGTAATCCTTCTCCTGGAGAGGGATCCTCTGTCCTGAGAGTTGAGGTTCCCTCTACTGGGGAGCGTTCCTCTGGTATGAGTTCCTCCAGTGAGGAGGGATGGGAGCAAGTTGCAAACAACAACAAAAGCCAAAAAAAGGGAAAAAAGAAGAGAGCTACCAGAGAAAAAGCTGATAAATGAGACTCTGAGTGATGAGCTGACCAGAGAAGGACTTTCTGATCCCGAAGCTCTGTTCTGTTACTTCTCTTCAAATGTACTCTAACACAACTGTTGCTACTAGCATTTGTCTGATTTGATTGTATTCTAATTTTTGCCTCATAACTTTTGCACTGTCCACTTCCTGCTGTGACAAAACAAATTTCCCACGTGTGGGACTAATAAAGGTTATCTTATCTTATCTTATCTTATCTTATTTTGAACACTGTTTACCAAGGAGTTTTCAAAACTTTTAAAATAAGGTACTATTATCTCTATGTGCCACTATCTTCATATATGGAATTAGCATTAATTTGATATTAGAATTTCTAGTGTAGGGGCATTTAGTGATTCCGGTTAGTATGATAATTTACATCCATCCATCCATCCATCCATCCATCCATCCATCCATCCATCCATCCATCCATCCATCTAGTCTATCTATCTATCTATCTATCTATCTATCTATCTATCTATCTATCTATCATATCTATCTATCTATCTATCTATCTATCTATCTATCTATCTATCTATCTATCTATCTATCTATCTATCTTACCTATCTATCTATCTATATCATCTAATCATCACTGCATTCCTTGTCTTCAGCCAGGAGTGAGAGCTCGCTTGTGAGGTTCAGTGACACATGGCGCTGTAAACAATTCAACCACAAACTTGGCCTGAACGTTTCCAGTGATGTTAACCTATAACTTTCTTCCGACTGCTGCATGTGGAAAATTGATCGAGGTCTGCTTTGCACCTAAAAGTGACAAAACTAAGACATTTTCATTATCATCATCACTGCTTAAACAACACACATCTCTCTCTCCGGGCAGAAACACCAATTTACGTCATGTATTCACATTCATGAATGTAAGCATGTCTTCATTGCGTCTATGTATTTGTATTCATATTCATCTTGAGTGTAAGCTGATCTTCGTTGCCTCGATGTGTTTTTATAATCAGGTTTAATTCATGCATCTTTGCACTGAGCTGTGGATTCAAACTGTCTCACTTCTGCTTCTCTCCAAAAATAATTTCACATGTAACAATTTGTGTGTGTGTGTTTTCTATTCATTCATGTAATTATTATCTCTCTCTCTGTTTTTTTTTTTAATTTACCTTTCTGTTATGATGCTCTGGACATTTCTAAACCTCCACCAGTTCAGCCTCCATTTTCAATCCAGTTTGGCCTTTAAATCTCCAGCAAACACAGGCCCAATTCAGCTGTTTCTTCTTCTCTCTTGATCTTTTCAGTCTTTTCTTTTAGGTTAACTCCCAGCATGGCAAATATCACGTCCAGTGCCTTCAAATAGTCATGTCACTGGTTAAGTTCCCAGCTTGTGATTCAAAGCGCAGGTTCCATCAGTGGTGTTCATACATGCTGCTGCTTGTCCCTTCAGTGTTATAGGTCACTTGCACTGACTTTTGCCTGCTGTTAATTCTTCAAGTCCACGATGTTCTGTCTGTCTTCTGTCTTCATCACAAGGTTGACTGTCCTTTAAGCTTCTTCTCAGGCTAAGGACATAATCAGAGGTCAAGCTGTCAAATTTCAAGCCAAAGACTGGCCTGTTTGTCGTCCCAATTCTGTTAATCTATCATTTTGCCGCTGCACTCATGTTTTGAGGTCCATGGGCACCTGTATTAAAATAGGACAGAACACAGCCTTGCCTCAGTGAACTATTAATGACTTATGGTTCCTAAAAACAACTTAGGTAATTTAAATTCAAGTGGTCAAGGGAAACACCATAGGTGGAGACCAAGTCCAGAGTGTGCCCAGCCGTATCAGTAGCCCCTGCTACATGCTGAACAAAGTTGAAAGAGTCCATGATGCTCAGGAACCCCTTAGTGGTACTGTTTGTTGAGTCATCCACATGAATGTTGAAATCTCCAACAATGATAACCATGCCCATTTTAATAGTGGAAGTTAAAAAGTCTTGTAGGTCTGACAGAAAAGACGCAGCAGACCCAGGTGGACGATAAATCAAAATGCCGTATGTGGGCTGTTCTCTTCCAATTTTTATCATAAGCATCTCAAAAGAGTTTTAGCAGCTTGAAGAAATCATCTGGCATAAAAATGTATTTTTAAAAACATTCTGTCTGACTACTGACACTGTTTCACAGACAGGCAGTCACAAAGCACTGTACACAAATACATGTATGACATTTAGTAAACAGATTTAATGAACCCAATCCAAAGAGGAAGTCTGGAAGTCCGCCATTTTGAATGTAAAATGATATTTTGGCAGGTTTTAGTGTTTTCCAGGCATCGCTGGTTTACACATTCGCCTGCAAAGTGAGAGGTCACTGGTTAAATTCCATTTGGTTACTTCAGGAACTTTTTGGGGTTACTTCAGAAAGGGACATCTTCGTCAAAGTCATGTTTGTGGCGGAATTTTGATCATTTACCACTGAACATAAGATTTTCATCTCTAAAAATGTATTTTGTCCAGTCTGTCCCAAACTTCACATGTTTGATGACAGTCTGGCGACGACTACATGCCAATATCTGGTCACACATGGTGCCACAGTTCTCATATAACATTTTAATCAAGACTGTGATTGAAGTATTTCTTGCAAAACAATCATAACCAAACAAAACCTGTCCTGTACTGTCAATGAACAGTAGGACAAAAAGACTTCTAGTCATTGTGGAAAGCAATGTTTTCGTTTACATCGTTGGAACGAGGAAAAATTCCCCCACCACAAAAACACAGAAATACTCATGAAAGCAACCTGTAGTGCAAACACGAGGGCTGAATTTATTACTTCCTGCGCTAGAAACCTGCTGATGTTCCTGATATGAATAGATCACCAGTCTTCCTTGTCTTTATCTTATCTCCTGTTGAGATGTTGCAGCAGAAAATGTTTTTAAAAGCATTAGTATGTCAGAAAGAAAGACCATTTTCTCCATGGGAGTGATAAACTCCTATATTTGTGGTTTATTGCACTGGGTAGCATCTTCATCTAAATCTACTGCTGGAAAAGGATGATGTCACCACTAAAGGTACAGTGCGTTCTCAGGGGAAGTAATGTAATGATGTTGAAAATGGCATTTCACTGTGACTGAAACACAAAAAGGAACCAGTCCCATCCCTACATACACAAGTGGGCATCCATAGCTGCGATTTATCAGGTGGGTGCAGTGTGTGTTGGCAGTGGACTCACTGTGCCTAAGCAGCCATGAATCATAGAGGACTTCATGCTCCCCCATCATAAATCCACTGGCACCTACCAGCCAGTCACTGTGGGTTTGTCATTGTAGAAAGCTGAACATACAACCCCTGCACAGAAGCACAGCTACAGTTAATATGTTAGCTCTGTATTTGTTCTAAAACCTTCTATCACTGTGTGGTGATGGATACTGGTTGGATATTTTTAGCTGCTTCAAATGTTGAGACAATCAGCTCCATTATCCATTTGCCGATTTTTTAAACACAGGTGAAACCAGTTACTCATTTCTAGTAAATCAGTTGCCTGAGAAATTTTCCCTGGAAGCCAAACTGTGCCAAAGAACGACCCTGAAGCTGGCTGACCTGAACAAAGTGCAGCAACACTTAATAATTACACAAGCACATGTAAATATGTCTACTGCGCTGTTGCATAATTTTGGTTAGGTTGCAAAGCATGACAATAATGTTAATATCATCTTTACCAACTTGTACGTGCAGTGGGGAAACTAATTATTAAATTGCACCAAAATAACAACAAAGAAAAGAAAACAAAGCTGCCTTACTGCACTAACAGAGAAAGTTAGAGCTTCATGAAATTTCCCCTCTTTTGTATTTGACCCTTCACCCTCAGTTTTTCCTGTTCTTCGCTATTAGAAGCTGACCGTTTAAACCTCTGAGTTGGATTGAAATGTTGCTCCTCTAAGATCCATAGAATGACATGTGGTGTGCCTCAAGGGTCGGTTCTAGGCCCTGTACTTTTTAATTTGTATATGTTGCCTCTCGGCGGTGTCATCAGGAGGCATGGAGTGAACTTCCACAGTTACGCTGATGACACGCAGCTGTACATCTCCGTGTCTCCTGATGACACCAGACCAATGGATGCCCTTTTTAACTGTATCTTGGATATAAGATCTTGGATGGCAGAAAACTTTTTACAGCTTAACCAGGACAAAACTGAAGTTTTAATCGTCGGTCCTGAGGCTCAGAGAGAGAAACTCTTGTCTAAATTAGAGGCATTTTCACTATGTCCTTCGCTACAAGTGAAAAACCTGGGTGTTATTTTTGACTCTGAGCTTGGTTTTATCCCACATGTTAAACATGTAACCAAAATTGGATTTTATCATCTAAAAAATATAGCCAGAGTCCGCCCTATTCTCTCTCGGGCCAACACGGAGATGCTGATGCATGCTTTTATTACCAGTCGCATTGATTACTGTAATGCCCTGCTCTCTGGTCTTCCTAAGAAGAATATTTCAACTTTACAACTCTTGCAAAACTCGGCAGCTCGTGTGCTGACGAAGACCAGAGGGCGGGCCCACATTACACCGGTTTTAGAATCGCTGCACTGGCTCCCCGTGTGTTTCAGGATCGATTTTAAAGTTCTTTTATTGGTTTTTAAATGTCTTAATGGTCTTGGGCCTTCTTATCTCTCAGATCTGCTTTTACCATACGAACCCTCGCGGACCCTGAGGTCCTCTGGTACTGGCCTTTTGATTGTCCCTAAAGTCAGGACACATACTCACGGAGAGGCAGCTTTTCAGTGGTATGGTCCTCGTCTGTGGAACAGCCTGCCGGAGGAGCTCAGGGCCGCAGAGAACGTACATGTTTTTAAGAACAGGCTCAAGACCCACCTTTTTAATTTAGCTTTTACTTAGCGTTTATTTATTTTATGCTTATTTATTCTATCCTGTTATTCTATTATTAATTTAGGATTTACCTAATATTTTGATTTTATTCTTATTCATTTTTTAATCTTCTTACTCTATTTATATTTATATTTATATTGTATCCTGTTCTTATTTATTTTATCATTTTACCCTGTATACATCGTATTGCGTCATATCTCCAGTGTTTCCTCGGAGGGCGCTCTCTGCACCGGGGCTGTTATTGACCGTGGCTGCTGGGTCTCTGGGGTCCTCTCAGCCTGGTTGGGGGGCTCCTTTGCCTCCCTCCGGCTGTGTGCCCAGCCTGGAGGCTGCGGTCTGTGACCGGCTCCCGGTGCAGACGGCTCCCTGTTATAATGTGTTTCCTCACTTGGCTCATGCGAGCCCAGCCCAATTTTACTCTTTAAGTGTGCGCGTGTGTGTATGTGTGTGTGGGTGGGGGTGGGGGGATATATGTGTATTGAGAGTGTGGGGAGTGAGTTGGAGGGTGGGGTGGGCTGCTTTTAACTATGTAAAGCACTTTGTGCTACATTTTCTTCTGTATGAAAAGTGCTTTATAAATAAAGATTGATTGATTGATTGATTTACGAGCTCAGATGAACCACAAAGTGTGTGGAAACTAAGAACACCCCATGCTTCAGTAGCTTGTAGAAGCAGCAATAACTTTATCAGGTTCTTACATCACTGTTGATAAGAATGTTGGCCTTCACTTCATTGAGGGTTTGAAGACATTGGTTCATGCACAGCTCTCTTAAGGCCCAACTGCAGCATTTCAATCAGGTTGAGGTCTGGATGTCGACTGGGCCGTTGCAACACCTTGGTTGTTTTTTTACATTTATCTTTTCACCTAGCCATTTGGTTGCAGATTTGCAGCAGAATGTGTTTGAGATCATTGTTTAATCTGTTATGTTGTTGTTCA